CTGTTGAGTTAATGTTGAAACAGAGTGTGAAAAGAACAGAGGGTGACTCCAGGGATTTGGGTCTGAATGACGGCACCACTTACAATGGTGAGGGGTTTTCAAAATAAAGATTGGGGCCCCAGCTCCAAACGCCCTGCTGGAGCCCCTGAGTGGTTTTACCCATTCTTCTCTGCATGTGGGGTCCACATGAGCCTATGACACATCCAGAATCCTGGGGCTCTGGGCTCCCTTTCTCTTCCCACAGGGAGAGAGGGAGAAACTCAAAGTGGGCACAAGGGAGTCTCTCAGCCTCTGAAATGGAACGTGACATCAATGCGATCTAAGCCCCATAACTTAGATGTTCTACACTCTGTGCATGCCTTGTGGGTCACCAGTCAGGCTCCTAGTTCAAGAGACAATATTACAAAGTGCTTTTTTTTTAAGGCAAAAAGAAAGCAATAAAAAAAGAGTTCCCCATTTTCCTCATTCCTCCAGGTGCCCAACCCGGTTGACTTGTTGGAGTGCATTTTCTGCATTCTTAATAGATAGCTAGCAGGAAACGCCTTCCACGGCCCCAGCAAGAGGGGCAGGAAGGCACAAGGGGAGGATCCGAAACCCCCAGCTCCTTCTTTGTAAGCACCGAGCTGGGCTGAAGGGGCCAGCAGTTCTGGCCAGCTCCACGCACCTTGTCCCAGCTCTGCCTCAGGTGATGGGCGAGAATTAAGGTAGGAGAAGCTGGGTCTCTTCAAGGGGAGGATGGATGGCAATTCATCTGAGAAGAAAGGGGAAAACATCACATACTTCATGCAATGAGACACCCCACTCTTTCTGGTCTCTTTGGGGCTTTTGTTCCAAGTGACCACTGTGACAACCCTTCTAACTCTTGCCCCTAGCCCCCACGGTGCTAGGTACCGTTTTGCAGAAGTGTGGTCCATGCAGGCAGTCTGTGATAGAGTTCAGACCAAATTGCTGATTCTATGTTAAAGATGTTTGCAGAGAAGCTTGGACAGTATTTCAAGGTACAGCTCGGAGCCCTTGGAGTCTTGATAGTGTGTGAATCGGGGAAGGGGGAGTGTGTGTATTGTGTTACTGATGCCATTCTGACTGCATTGCTGGCAAACCATGGCCCTGGGGTATTGCCTGCAAGATGCTCTTACTACAAGCCAGACACTAGAACAGAGACATCTTGCAGAAACCTTTCCAGGCAAGCCCCACCCTTGCTCCAGCTTCCTTCACACACCCCCTTTTCTCCACTGGCTTGGGTCGCAGCATCCCTTTCTCCTGAGCTAGCCCAGTTCCTTGGTGAGGCTAGCAAGAGAGCCCTTCACCAAGGGCTCACTGAGGGACAGAGCTACCGATGACATTTCTGCAGAGGAGCAGCGAGCTGCCACTCTGCGCAGATATAACCCACGTGAAATGCTCCAAATTTCGATATCTCTCTACGGCAGACCTCCTTCACTGTAATCCAACAGCAGTCAGGGAATTGCTTGGGGCTGGACCCAGAGCCATAACCCGCAGCTTCCCTCTGAGTGTACACTGTGTGTTTGGAGGGGGGAAGGGAAGGGAAGAGGCAGTCCTAGTTTCTTCTGGACCTCCAGTTGCCCACCGTCTGAGCCCTGCAAGGTGATGGGGCTGAAACATTGCCTCCACCTGGGTCTTTCAGGTCTGTCCTGTCTCCAGCCCGTTGACCTATGGTCTCCGTGGTCTCAACGCAGGGGGACTAAGAGTTGCTTCAGGCTCTAATGGCTCAAAGTTCTCACCAGCTGATTCCCTTGTGGCTTTAGGGAGAGATAGCAAAGATCGATTACAAGCTGTGTCAAGCCCAAGCTAGCAAGCTTGCCGAGAGCAGTGACCACTAGCAATTCGGAGAGTAAGAGGTGAGTCCTACCAGGGGAGAAAGGCTGCCAGGAGAAGCCCCAAGGGGGTGGGCTGACGTCCTGCCTGTTTTCACTGAAGGAGACAAGATGGTTTAGGCTCCTGGCACCAGAGACCAAACCCCTATATTTGACAGATGGAGAGACTGAGGCCCAAAGGGGGGAAGGGATGATTATTCCCACAGATAGTGGCAACACTGGCACTAGTGTCCAAGTAGACCAGAAGGGAGAGAGGAAGAAGGACAGATTTCAGAGCCATAGAAATCTGGGTTCCAACCGCAGCTCTCCCCGGGCCTGGTTGTGTGGCCTGGACAGTTTATTACCATTATTACTTTTTCCTTCTCTAAGCCCCAATTAGGAGCTCTGGTAGCATAGTGTCTAAGGCACTTGGCTGCTAACCTGAAGGCTGGCAGTTCAAACCCACCAGCCACTCCTTGGAAGGAAGGTTGGGCAATCTACTTCCGTAGTGATACTGCCTCGGAAACCCAAGGAGGGG